TGTGATAAAACAACCCTAGGGCCCTCGGTGGGCCAAAAAATCACGAAAAATCGAAACTTACTGGCGGCGGTGCTCTCGGGTGCGGCGGCTCCTCCGACGTGAGTTGCGTTTTGATGTTTGGCTCTGATCAACCTGTAGAGAAAAGAACGGTGATCACAGTGATATAAAAATTACATCGAACGGAGGCCAGGAAGGGCCTCATCGGAGGCAAAAATCGAGGAGGGGCGCGGCGGTGCCGCTGGGCTTCGGCTAGGTTTTCCGACCGTTTGGCCGGTGGTTTGGCTCCGGTTTGGCCACAAGCAGACTCAGCATCAAAAAACGAGCAAGGGGGAGAAAATTTACCTCGATCGGCAGTCGAAAACTTCCCCGGTGCGGCGGCGGGTGGCGGGGGCCGGCTGCTCCGGCGTCTGGTTCTTCTTCTCCGGTGAGGCACTGGCGGCTAGGGTTTTTGTGGTCAGGTGTGGGTGGGGTTATTTATACCTTTTGCCTTTTAATCTCAACTATCCATCAAGATTAAATCTGGGCCGTTCGATCGCGATTTAATTGGGATTAAATCTGGGCCGTTCATCGCGATGCAATCTGGGTCGTCCGTGTCTGATTGAATCTGGGCCGTCCGTGCGCGTGAATCTGGGCCATCCATGCGCACGTTTGATCTAGACCGTCCGTGTGCGCGGGAACGGATCTGAGCCGTCTGATGGGTTTACATTCCTTACACAATAATTCAGAATACCCAATAGGGTTACGTAAATGACCATTCTAAAAGAATAACAAAAAATCAAAGAAATAAATAGAAAGTAAACAACTGGACATCTTATTTGCAACCCTCTTGTGAATTAGGATCTGGATTTGAAATGGTTAATGAAAGAGTGAGCTATACTAGTCCAGTAAAAATATTACACTACTCACCGATACATAATTGAATATTGATAAAAATCATAAAAATAACTAATTGAACTCTTAATTTCAGTAAATTTATTTATCATAAATAAAATCATTTATTGTATACTTACCGTAGTGAAGTTTTCAAAACTGACATATAGATGCAATAACACAAGAATATTATAATCTCGTATCTAATTAAGTAAGAATAACAACTTTCACTTTTTATCTGTCTACTGATATTCATGGGAGTTTATAAGGATGTCCCCACTACGCGTGAATCCTTATTCAACGTTTTCAAGTAACTGGCCGTCTCCATACCTTGTTCGGTATGAGTGTCAAAAATACTATTTCTCAATATCCCGTCCGGTATGAGGGTGAAACAGGCCATCCCCATACCCCGTCTGGTATGAATGCCAAAATACCAATCCTCGATATCCCGTATGGTTTGAGGCAACGTTCACGGTATGATTCCTTATGCACCAGATCCATCTATCATCTCTCAGGATATCTAGTAAGGGTACTATTCATTTATTCACTTAATGAAATAATTTTTTGTTTACATTTAATTTTCAATTTCACAATTTAACTGTAGATAACACAGAATAAACAGTACGTGCATCAAGGAAACACCACTGAATCATTATACCAACTCAAGTGTAATATTATGCATTTGAAACAGTAAAATCAATCAAATAGGATCAATAGTGAATAATAATCGGTTCTGCCTCCATTAGTAACCTATAATTAATTATCGAGATTTTTTAAATTGTACAAAATATCACATTATTTATAATTAAACTTTAATTTCATAACAAAGAATAGGGTGAAGAATTCTTACGCAAATCGAGGTCCAAACGCTAAACTTTCAGCTGCATTTACTGGCGGTCATCGGATTCTCTAAATTTTTCTTCGGAGATTAAAACACGCTTCAAGTACCTAGAAATAACCCAAAAAATTCAAAGTCGGTGTTAAAACCCTTTTTTGGCCTATTTTAGAATTTTGGCACGGCTGCAGTTTGCCTCAGACTGACCGTTTTTGGCCGGTTTTGTATTCATCCCAGCGAGAAAATATATTAAAGGGTCTCGATTGGCTGAAAAAAGTCAAAAAATGGAAGCATACCGGTGGCGAAGTTTTCTGGTGCGGTGACTCCGCCGACTCAATTCACTGTTGGGCGTTTTTATTCAGTCAACCTGTGAGAAACAGAATGGTAAATACAACAGTAAAAAAATCGCACGAAACGGAAATTAGAAAGGGTCTCATCGGAGGTGGTTTTTTATTTTCCCGCGACGGCGGCACTGGTCTTTACTCGCAGTTTCCGGCTCATCCGCTTGTCCTTTTGCTCCGATTTGGCTATGGAGGTGTTCAAAATCGAATTTTGAGCGATTGGAGGTGGCTCCAGCACGGCGGCGGGCAGCAGTCGGCTCTCTCTCCCGGCAACTAGTTCTTCTTTTTCGGCAGGGGGCTGACGGATAGGGTTAGGGTTCTGTGTAAAGTGAGGTATTTATATCCGTCTTCCTTTAATCTGGACCGTCCATTACGTTTGATCTCGACTGTCCGATCGCGTTCAAATAAAATGAATTTGAACCGTTCATCGCGATTTAATCTCAACCATCTGATTGCATTTAAATAAAAAATGAATCTGAATTGTCCATCGCAATTTGATATAAACTATACAATCGCGTCTGAGGAGGGAACAGATATGAACTGTCCACGCGCGCAAAAAAAATTTCGGATCGTCCGATCGCAGGCACGCGGATTGCTAGCGTGGCCTTTCGTGTGACACCGCGTCAGCGTGCCTTGTCACGCGGTGCGCTCCGGTTCGTCGGAACTGTTGACTGAACGGTTCTACGTGGCATATTTTTTTTTAAATCACGTTTTTACCCATAATTTTTTATTTTTCTTTCAAAAATATCTTAAAACCTAAATTTTCATATATTGTTTTTAAAATTATTTTCAATTTCATCATTCAGCTATTTTTTCTAATTTTTACATTAATTAAAATTCATAAATTAAAAAAAATTATATTATATCCATTAATTTTAAATTTTTTTAAAATTAATTACGGATATTACATATAAATATATATATATATTTGTGTACTATATATAATAAATGAGCTAAGTTGAATAACATGCAAGAAAAAGGCGTGCAAAAGAGTCCTTACCTCAATTGACTATAAAATCTCAAAGACTTTTTGTCCACGTATGAAGAATGATACAATTAGAAAAAGACTTTTTGGTAAGGTTTCGTCAAGAGTTAATAATTAATCACCTAAGAGTGAACATGTACATCCTTTTTATATATATATAATAATTATTTGAATCTATAACGAAAAGAATCTTTTCGTAGTATGTTAGATCTTCTATATCGACACGTAGTCTTTTAATATTTTTCTATTAATTAGATAATAAAAAAATAAAATCATGCGTGTAATTTGAAGATCACAATAGCCTTTTTATATTATAAGTTCATATTTATTAAGACTCAAAATTATTTGACCGTAATTAATTATTTAAATTTTAATTTTAATTATAAATTAAGATTACTGTATCATGAATTAATTATATATTATCGACTAAGCTAATTATTTATTTTTTAATATAAATAAATAAATTATTTTATGTTAATTCTGGGCAGAACATTAATTGTTTAAAATGAATTAATATATCTGTCTGCCGTGGGTTGGGACCAAATGGAGCGTGAGTTTTCACACTTTTGATTAATTACTACGACAAAATGGTTTGTCGTTTTGGGTTATGAATCACGTGTGCCCCCCCACCAATAACAACACGTTTATTACTAATTGACCCAACCTATTTTAAAATAAATAAATAAGGCAGATAATGGAAATTAATTAATGATATTAAATTAGAGCTAATATAATTACTTTAAAATTAAGTTGGTATAAAAGTAAATTAATGATATTATTTTCGTCCTATTATATAATATATATATATATATAAAATCTACAAATAATTTAGTTTCAAATTATAGCTACTAAATTTGTACCCACAATTTAATTTTTCGGGGGTCTCGTGTTATGAGAAATTTTAAGAGAGAATTTATTTTTAAATAATATTTTATTAGAAATGAAAAAAAATATTTTATTTTTAATTTATGGTGTTTATTATAAATTTTTAAATACGTAAAAAACGAAAAGAAGAAAAAAAAAAAAAGATTAACAGAAAGATTTAATTTTTTATTTATAATAATTATTGTAAAATTTCAATTACATGAATATATATATAAATAGTAGAATCGAACTCTAGTTCTTCGTCACCCATCATCATTATGGTAGGTCATTATCCTACCATCGAGAGTTGATAGGATAAAAATTTAAATGATGTGTCACCGGTACGATGGCTTATCCGTCGAGTTATCATGAATCATGGAAGCAACGGACAAAATTCGCATCGATCTTTTATCTAATAAATGCGTTATTTTTAAAAGTCCGAATTTGTTACACTAATGAGTTCTACTATGATTATAGTTATCCGAATAGTAAATACCATCAAACAAACTATAACACGATTCTTAAATTTCTAAATATATTAATATAATTAAATTTAATTCATGAACCATTTTTAAAAAATTAAAAAATGCATCAATTATTATATTTATAACCTATATTTAATTTAATTATATAATAAAATAAAGAGTTTAATCATGTTAAAATTTATAAATTATTATTTTTAACACCATACAAGGAAATTAAGGACGTTGTTAACCCAAGCAGCTTAAGTTCGTCAAACTGTAAAGAGGTGTGTGTATATATATATATATATATATATATATATATATATATATATATATATATATATATATATATATATATATATATATATATATATATATATATATATATATATATATATATATATATATATATATATATATATATATATATATATATATACATATATATATATATATATATATATATATATATATATATATATATATATATATATATATATATAT